AGAGAGCAGAGGAGAGAGGAGAGAGAGAGAGAGAAGAGACGGATGAGGAGACGAGAGAGAGAGAGAGAGAGAGGGGAGAGAGAAGAGAGAGAGAGAATGGAGCAAGATGAGAGAGCAGAGAGAGAGAGAGAGAGAGAGAGAGAGAGATGGAGCAAGAGAGATCTATAGATATAGAAATAGATAGCAGCGCCAGGGTCTTCACCTATATGACTACATTTATATATGCCATATTTACTATCTCGTTCACGTAGCGTGTTGAAACGAGATAGTAAGTTAATGATAATGAGTTTGCTCAGCTTCATCAGTGACGTCATGACTTCGGGAGATTATACAATTACTTGCCTCCGTCGAAAAAAAACCAAGGCGTGATGTTATTCACACGTATAGAAATGAAACAGGCAGAAAATTATTAAAGACTTGGGTTGGAATAGAAAAAATTTGAATAGACAATTTGTATCATTTCTATAAAGATTGACGGCAGATAAATAACTTGTGAACTCGATCGGGTTGGTGCCCCAGCAATGGCACAGATAAATCTTCGTATGACACCGTACTGCCGTCTTTCGGCAGATCATGCCGAATTTCCATTTGCATTTGCAAAATTTCGCTAGGGCAGTGGCCAACTTTGTGTCAAATTGAACACACTGTGAAGCGTGCTATGACGTTTAATTATGACATCTATCACACACACGCTCGCACGCACACGCACACACGCATATCATATGCAACCATTGCACGCACGCAGGCGCACACACGTACAAGCAAGCCCATCTGTACCAACTCGCGCGCTGCGCGAACAGTCTCGGGAGCAGATTGTTTGGGTTGGTGTAGTATTGCACGTCGTTGCAAGGGTCGTTGTCGTATCAGGTACAACATATATGTACCCAAGGTAGTTTTAGGTTGTTTAGTATTATGTTTATATTTTTATATGAGGTATGTTTAGGGTTAAGGTTAGGGTTAGGGTACACTTCTGTAGTACAAGTCTGGTACACTTTGTGTATACATATGATATGTACCTCGGGTACATATATGTACTACCTGATAAATTCAAATTCAAATTCAAATAAAGTTTATTGCACGGATAATCGCAGATCATACAGGCAAATATGCTACAAACTACAACAATACGATACGACAACGACCACTTCAGCTGTAGTATCGTATCGTATGGTCGTGCACCGTAAATGACTAATTCATTCAGATCAGATATCATTTTAATGTATTTCCCACTTTATTATGCATACATTACAAAATGAATACTTACATGAAGAACATCATGATCATGTACATATAGTCTTTCTTCGGTAAATCGCATGGATAAAGTTAAAAAAAAACATGATCATGTACATATATATTATATACTATCAGGATACTATACTCTTTCTTCGGTAAATCGCATGGATAAAGTTAAAAAAAAACATGATCATGTACATATACTATCAGGATACTATAGGCCCTATAGTCTTTCTTCGCCTTCGGTAAATCGCATGGATAAAGTTAAAAAACAACAACAACAACAGCTATATATAGGGGCCGGTTTTAATTACGCTTCGTGAAACAGTCACTTCAATTTCAGTACGAGAAGTTAATCATGATTAGTGATTTAATCATAATTAAATACTTAAGTACGCTTCGTGAAACTAGAGTCCCTTTAGTTTATACATAATACAGAAACTACCCCCAGAAAAACTTACAGTAGATAGATGTCACGTCAGATAAACGTCATCGACGCATCACAATGTGTTCCAAATAATCGCAAAATGTATAGGGCGGGAACGGCAGAGTGCACGTGCATTCTGTTTTAGCGAATGAGAAGTGAGCACGGTGATGTCATTTTTTGGGAGGGCCAATAGAAACACTTTGTCGTCTTAGCAGACGATAGAACGTTCACCCGTGTCCTGCCACTATCCAGTGAGGTTCTACAGAAGGAAGCTGGCAGTCTTTTTGATAAACTAGAGGTAAGTAATTATTGTTCTGTGACTGTTAGCAGTTTTAGTATTCGCTCCTTGTTCAAACGTGCTTTATCAATACACCGCATTTGTTTTAATATCAATAATGGACTTGTGACTGCAATCAAATTCGGCATAACCTGCTCTGCTCATCTTTTTAATTAATAATAATATTTATGTACGTAGGTCCATAAATACAATAGTATGATACTTACGAAGATGCCCATTCTGTTTCCAGCCATATCTTCACAATGAAGCTCCTATTAGTCTTTGCACTAGTTTGTGCTACAGGAATCCACCAAGCATGTAAGTTGTAACTGAGCACGCGGCCGCAACACGCCTTGCTGAAAAGCACTGTATTCTTCATTATGTATCAGTGACATTGTAGGCTAGCACAAATATATACATAGAATTATCTGCCAGTAGGCCTATTTCATGATCATCACATCATAAACAAGTTATTTAGGCCTGGGCATTTGTAAGCACTAACTACAACTTACAAGTCTCGTTTGTCTCGCTTGTCACTGCATCAGTGCATGACCAATTCCAATTATGCTGGCAGCAACTGATTGAGAACAATTTGTTCAGTTAAGGCCTCTAAATATTATACAGAGTGGCTATATGCCCGGCAGCCGGCATATATCTGACGGCTGCCGGGCACGGTCTTCGCTTTCCTAAATGCCCGGCAGTTTTTAATTTTTAGTGTTATCTCAAGTAAACAAGGGTTAGGGTTAGAGTTAGGATTAGGTTTAGGGTTAGGGTTAGAGTTAGGGTTTTTGTTAGGGTTAGGGTTAGAGTTAGGGTTAGGAGCTGCCGGGCATTTAGGAAAACGAAGACCGTGCCCGGCTGCCGGGCATATAGCCGTGCAGCGAATATTATAAACAAACCAAACGTGAAAATTTGTATTTATGAATTTCAGGCTGTAGGCTATGACTATGAGTAAAGTGAACTGTAATATTATGGTAGGCCCTAGGTGCTAACAGTAATATGTTAATTTATCATTTTGTTTTGTCGTCTTTTTTCAGTATGTGTTAACAACTGTGCTAGTGGTATTGTGGATGCCAATGCACTCATGTCATATAAGCGGGGGACAGCTGAGGTTACGTCAGCCTTCGTTGCTGCGGACGTTGCAACAATAACCTGCAATGACAAATTTCATTCTACCGTGACTACGTCAACTTGCACAAATGATGGAACTGATGATGACTGGATCCCAGCGGCTGTTGCATGTTCAGCATGTAAGTAAATTATTACTAATACTATTTGTGATGTGCAGAATATAGAACTGAAGAAACAAGACTTATGTAATGATGCAAAGATCACTAACTGATATAACTATTAACACCCACTATTTCATGGTAGAATTGGATGTTTGCTATTGGCATTGCAGAGCGAAATGAGAAGTTAATTAGTAACTTGTCAATAATAATTTTCCAGATGGAGAATGTACGGCATCTGCAAGTGTACTCGATGAGGGCTCAACTCTTACCTACAGTGGTCTAGATGCTCTGCCAGAATCTGCCACTGTAAGCTGTGGGACGGGATATACTAATGTTACCAGCTATTGCACAGGAGAAACAACCTATGCCTGGGTTCCAGCAATTACCAACTGCACAAGTAAGTAGGAAGATCATGTAATTTTTTGTTGGTTGTGGTTCTATTTTGTACACATAATTTCAAATACTTCCAACATTCAGATGATCATAACTGGTCAGAGTTTGTGTGGGTTCAGGAATGTTCTGTGGCTGGTTGTCAGAAACAAGTACCTATAATAGTTCTAACTATTTATATTGTTTCTGACAATGGATCCCTAGAAAATTGGCCATTACGTTTGGTCCTATAAATTCAGCCCATTTGGCTTTTTTCTAATGTTAAACCATGCGAGCTTGCAAAAATGTCTTTTCAGCACTTTATTGCCTATCTTTGTCATTAGACGTACTATCGTGGCAACGATTGACTTTGTCCGACTTTGAATCACTGGCCGATAGATGATCATCAAATGTGTAACCGACTAGTGAAAACTGGTTGTCTGGTTAATTATGATTACAGAATTACAGCCTAAGGCTTTCCTTATATTTATTTTCCTATTTCAGTGGTTCAGTGTGATGCCTTCACTGTGGAGAACGGCGTCCTCAATGTCACAGGAACTGCCCATGATTACGGAACCGGAGTGGAAATAGACTGCGAAGAGGGTTACGAGTTTGAGCTTGAAGTTCATGAAATGGAGGTGGCCTGTGGTGCCGATGGCAAATGGAGCCCTGCACCTGGTGTATGCGCAGGTTTGTCATCTTTTTTTTTTTAATTCTCAACAATTATTTCTGTTGTATATGGTGAGCTATGGTATCCAACCTGATTGAACCTATTAAAATGTGTTTTCCGCTATTAAATCTTGATTGTCGGTGAAATAGGACTGTTGTGCCTCGTTTTCTCTGGCATAATTAGATTTACTTCTGCTTTCATTTCAGGAAGCTCTGTTGCAAGACTGCTGATGACACCAGCCATGATCATTGGAGTAATGGTTGTCAGCAAGCTATAAACCCCATCTCAAAAAGATGCAAAATATGTATGTTATCTATAGATAGTCACACAATTTGAAATTACTTGTATCTCGTTTGACTTCCTGAAAAATGGAACGATTGAGGATGACTTGTTTACAAACTGCTGCTGCCATGAAGCTTGATCACACAGCCACAGCTCCGAGTATTAAAGCGCCGCATGACTTTCACTATCGAAACGATGGCATTGTATGACTTCCATTACATGGAATGATTTAGTGATAAATTTTGCTCATGCTGCAGTGCTGTTTAAATAAAAAGCATGTAAATGATTTCTATCTATTAGAATGAACTATAGTGAATAGATTCATGATTTTCCTTTTGGAAATGATGTGTAATGGCCTTGTTGCACGATTTGAAATCAGGTTATTATTGATACAATTATGTCAAAATAAAATGTGTAATCTTTATGAACAATAATTCTGAAATTTGTTTATTTATTTTCATAACTAAAATGGATTTAAACAATGTTACCATCCTGTTGCTTCCAAGTAATTGACTATGGTATTAGCACTAAAATGAAACTCGCTCTAAAATTGCTCTCCTGTCAAAAAATTGTCTACTTGCAATGTCATTAAGAAAAGCATTTCTAGTACACATTTCTAGTAGCATTTCTAGTAATGTTATTTCCATCCTTGGTCTAATTAAAACAAAAATTGCATCATTATATATACTGAATACCATGCCTCCATTTTTCCTATACAAAATCTTGAAAATAATCTTTAAAACAAAATCATTTTGATTATTACAATTTAAAGTGCTGTGCATCAGACCTCATACATGTATTTACATTACATAGATAAGAGATGTCAAGGCAGCATGGTTAGATGTCCATCTCAAATTGAGGGTCCTCATCACCTGTAATAGAGAAAATAATATAAGCCTCGTCTACACGACTAACCTTAACTCGAGTTAAGCGTCTACACGGGGGGGCCTTAACTCGAGTTAGCTTAACCTCGCCAGTCGATCGAGGTTAAGCTAACTCGAGTTAAGGCCCCGTGTAGACGCTTAACTCAAGTTAGCGAATAGTACATAACTCCACGATAGGCGGCAACACTAGTACGATGTACGTACACACGCACGCACACACTCATGCACGCACGTGTATGGGCACGAATGATTTGGAAACAGTCCGTTGCTAAATATTGGCGCCACTATAGCTTCAAATTTTGGCTTAACACCTCTACACAATAGCGGTAAATTGTGAGAATTCAGCTCGTGCAAGATTACGATTTACAGCAATACGCTAGCAAATATATGTAAACGAATATCAGTACCACAAAGGTGAGTGATTATTGGTCATAATAAGCTGAGGAACGTATACACTTGCAATTCCTTATTGGTGGCAAATTTTGATGAGAAAAATCGGTTAAAAATGCGGAAATCGGGTGTGTAACTCTTGTGTTATTATCTACTCTTGATGATATGCATTAATAACTAATATTTCTTACACTTCTTTTCCTCTGGGATAGTAGCTTGTCCATTAACAGAATCAGGCTGTGGGCTGCCCTTTGTCGTGGAAGGACTTGTCACACCTGCTATCTTCGGCAGGTTCTTTGGGGGTGTCCTTGTAAGTGGGGAATTGCGCAACTGCAGTAACTCGTGTCGTTCGTAGATGATGCGAGTTCCTAAAAAACAAAGCATGCGCGTGAATGTGCTTGTAAAATAGAGTCAAAGCGAAGCTAGATTTTTGAAGATTGGGTTACCAATAAAATGATTATTTTCTTGAAAAGATAGCGTCACAATTTATAACATATAAGCAATAGAATCACAGTAAATTAAAAGCAATACAAATATATTTGTAGTCTGTGAAGATATACAAATAAAAAGCAATCACAACGGATCTGACGTCTCAGAAAATAACTGTAAAAACCAATTGACAATAAACACGATTCAATCTGACATATGCACAGTTCATTTGATTCTAATATACTATTTGGTACTAACCACCGGGAGTTGTCGAGAAAAGAGTGCCTCCAGGCGTTGACGAGTAATCAATCGGAAGTTGTGATGGATCAGTCAGTAGAACACGTCTGGAGGGAATGTCCCTGACTTTAGTTTTACCTGACATCTGCATTAAAAGATAAAGATTCTAGATAAAAGAAACTGTGAATATTCCTAGAATCACGTGATCACCACTGTAAGCTATGGGAGGCTATGATGCGCCAAGTGAAAATAGGACGGAATCAACCTATCCACCTGGATTGATTGAGAGGTCACACTAGCCAATCATCATTGTGAAAAGGATGCTCTAAAATTGCTGCTTAATGAATTGTTAACTGGTCTAGCTCTACCATCCTAGCAACAATATACCCAAGTGGGGCATGGTTACCTTGCTCGCACGGTAAGATCAATTACAAGCCAAAGGTTAGTGAGCCCAGTAATATTATCATGAACATCTCTGGTCTAAACATGTACGCGCTCTATCTGTAGCATTTCTACAACAATGCCATTTGAGAGTTTTGGAATATTTTCACCATACAACATTAAGTACAGGGGCGGATCCAGGGGGGGTGCAGGGGGTGCGCAACCCCCCCCCCTCCCACGCAAAGTGCCCTTTTTGCAAAAGTTGCCTTATTAAAAAAACGGTATGTTTTGCCACTCGGCCTGTATCTGACAAGTATTTCACTCAGTCGGTCCCGATCAAGCCCTCGTTTTTCTTAGAATATATATATTGGTCAGGCCCAGGAGTCGGGCCATACTATGCTCAAATCCAAAACGGGAAATCTAGGTCTAAAACTAACCGCTGCCTTTCTTAAAATGATGTTAGCAATACAGTGGCGGCGCCATGCAGCATGGCGCCCCTGTACTTCGCCTGTATAGATGCACTGGATGAGTTACATTATTATATTGCCAAATGCACGCATTTCAATCAGCTACGCTAAAAGCTCACATTAATAACTTAAACCGAAAACCCACCCACTCCAAAACTGCACCAACTGCAAAACTGCAAAACTGCAACTGCAACTGCAACCGCAACTGCAACTGCAACTGCAAAACTGCTCCAAACTGCACCCCTCCTTCCTAAAATCTATTATACTTGCCAGTGTACCCTACACGTGATATAGTGACAAGGTAATGCATTTGTGTGTAACTAACTAGCTGTACCTGGGCATGAAGTTACGGTCTCATTATTGTACTTAGGCCCTTCACTTCACTACACTACAAGGTACTTCAAGGTAGTACACTACACTTCACCCGTACTCTTTACGGACACTGAGGGTGGCCATTGCTAGATTGCCAAACGTTCTCAGTAGTTCTTTTACGTCACAATTCAGGGGTAGAAATCAGGAGAAAAAAAGAGATGGTCCACAGGACCATCTAGTTTGAAATTTAGATGGTCCTCCTAAATTTCAAATTGTTCTCTAAAAGTAATGCGGTGACGCGTGCAAGCGTAAGAAAGAGATTTTACATGGTGATAAAATAGTTTAAGTATTCACCTACAACAGTGTTAGAGCTTTAAAATAAAAACCTCTCTCCGAACTGGGCAAGTGAGTTAATAAGTTAACTCGCCCAAACGGAATCTGTACTCGCTCAAATTTTAAAACAAAAATGCTTGTCAAACAATAGTGAAAGAATAGACTATGTGGGTGGGTTCCGGAAGGGGTCCCTGATTAGGCTGGGTCCGGGATTAGGCGGACCTCTTAGATGCAATTTCCTGCACTCTGAGGCAGCATTGTTAACCCTTCTAGAGGCAGAGCGACATTAATGTCGTCTCCCATAGAATGGGCAGAACGACATAAATGTCGTTTTTACCAAAGCCATTTCTAACAGCCTCTCTGATTGGCTAAAGCCTAGATTTCAATGTTTAGTTGGTCTGGTTATCACGAGAGGGCTCTGATGTTCACGAAACGGCACACTTTAGGCTGAAATCATGGTAAATGTTCATTGAATCACCAAATTGACAAGGTTATAAACCCGGAAGTAAAAAAGTTGTTTCAAGATAGCGACCTCCAGTATATCACCACGTTGTTCTGTGCGAAATAGGACCCGTTCGTTCAATATACAGCAAGTTGTGGGACTTCTATCTGATTCTGATGATGAAGAGGTTGTTGTAGATAGCGGTAGTGACCTAGATCTAAATGATTTCCTTGGTTCTGACTCAGAATCGGGTAATGAAAGTGAAAATGACGATGTGCATGCTTCTGGACTATGCAAGACATGCTTCCCACAATATCATGAGTAAGGTAGGAAAATGCAATTTTCTACTCTTATTGACTCTTACAGTGTATTCATGTATAATCACCATGATTTCAGCCTCAAATAATGCCCTAGAGAAGTTAAAATCAAAGTTACCCGTTTTTAGGTAAAATTTGGGAATTAATTCGCCCAAATCACTACGTATTTGGGCAAAAACCTGCCTCTAAAAGGGTTAAACAATCCTCATCACAAAAATATCACTTTTGAGTTGAGTATTTTAATGTTTGGGGACACTAAAGACTAAAGTAAATACTTTAAAAAAAAGAGAAACATAAACTTCAAATTGCTGAGGGTTGAACTGCTCAGTCTCTGCCAAGTTGTACAAGTACAATGCTAAGGCAAAGTAATGTGGTTAATAAGTTAATCTATATCATCGACAAACTGACGAGCAAGGATCGATGAGGTGGCGCCACCATCGCTCGCCCCACCGATCGTCCCCCGCCGCACCACGATCGCACGTGAAGAGTCTTCCGACGCCGCCATTGCCAGGTGGCAGCACGGCTGCAGGACTCGTCGCGAGGACGTTCGCCCGACGTCGCGTCACCGGCCGCCGCCGGAGAGCGCTGCGCTTTGGAAAAAAAGCGAGCGAACCTTGTCGCAGCGACGTTTGGTTTCGCTGCGTTTTTCCGCCGGCGTGCGTGCGCGCGCCCACGCAGAGACCGCTATTTAAAGTCATGTATGCCTAGCGGGGAAGCACTAGTAATAACTCGTAATAATAATAATAATAATAATAATAATAATATTATTACACAATTAAAGGTACGGCTGTCGGTATCGCGTAACGTGCACTTAACTGTAAATAGTGTGATTACTCGACTGAGAATTCGTGCTAAACTTTGACCATCTTTCGCTCGTCGTCGCTGCTGCTGGGACGACGCCACGATTCTATAGATTTCATATTCGGACGTTAACCGCACGATTTGAGCATGCGTGATGTGGTCAGCGTGTACGATTCCCTCCTGCAGAGGGCGCTTAACAGACGCTCGCGCAAACGTATTTGCCTCTTATCCGCACCCGGATTCGTGACGGCGGCGGCGGCGGCGGCAGGCGACGCGTGTCGTCTTCGTCTATCTCGTTCGCGTGCGATGCTGCACTCTGGCACATGTTAGTGCAGTGTTATTGCACTATTGTACGCCTTAGTGCAATATTAATGCACTCTGGCATGCCTTGGTATCATGGCTTGGTGTGAATTAGTGCACTGTCGCACACGCCGTCGTACAGATTTAGTAAATTCTTGGCCTCCTTGGTGCGGATTTAGTAAATTCTTGGCCACTTTAGTGCGGATTTCGTAAATTCTTGGCCACCTTACTGCAGCGCGTACGCACGCACTCGTTACATAGTGGTGGTTATCGGACTGATCTTACTGCAGCGCGTACGCACACACTCGTTACATAGTGGTGGTTATCGGACTGATCTTTCGAGTGAATGCATCGGATCCTGTCGTCCGCGTCACTGCTTCGTTATATCGGCGACTTTTGATAATATAAAGTGAGGATGCCGTGCTATAGCATGGTCCGTCGGACCATTGACTTTGAAAATCTGATGGTCCTCCTGATTATTTGATGACCCCGGACCATCGGACCATCGCTTATTTCGACCCCTGTCATTAACGGAGACGGACCCTCCATTTTACGTAGTTGCCCGAGCACCACGATCCAGTCACCTGTGATCATGCAGAACCAGGTTTATACACATCAATTGAGAAAATCCACTGCACTGCCACTGGCAAAGGTTTGAACTCAAACGACTTTGAAATGAAAGGTGGGCAAACTAACTATCGGACCACTGAGCTCTCTCATTATCGGGTCGCTATCGGTAGTCTTTGGGGGTAGTGTAACCACTGGCAGCAAGAACAAGCCCGCACCTGCAGCTACAGCACACACGCAGCCATTGACTATATATATACAACCAATATATACAGACAAAATTGTTGTATATATATAGTCAATGGCCGCGTGTGTGCTGTAGCTGCAGGTGCGGGCTTGTTCTTGCTGCCAGTGAGCGTAACGGGCACACCTCCCCTCCATTAATCATTGCCATTGCCATTGGCATTGGCATTGGCTCAGTGCATTGTGCATAAAATGTGTGCTTGAACAATACAGTTGTATGACGTACTGCTGATTCTCTACGATATATGTTAGTAAGTTGAATTGATTACTATACGCAGTGATTGCAATGAGTTAAATAAACGTTCACGGGTCATGTAACGGTCAAGGCTAACAGTGTCAGTAGTACTAGTAACACTAACAGCGAACCCAGCATGTTGCAAGTGCAAGTGCAAGCCAAGTGCAAAGGGGAAGATAAACGAATCATTGAACGACTCCTGAAAACTAAAACTGTGTTTGAAAGCGTATTAGTACTACACTACGTCTACACTAGCATAAGCAGACAATATAATTTATAACGTAAACAAATTATTATACGATCAGATGGTCAGGAACAAGCAACTTCGGTGTCAATCTTTAGTCTAGCGATTCGCATGCAATCGTTTACACCATAACATCAAAAGCATGTGACCGTCAATCCCATAATCCCCAGCGCGTCAAATTATTCTTTTTCGCTCTCATACGCGTGCTGCAGAAAACTGATTATATATATATAATATATGCGGGGTGACAACCCATGGGTGCATTGTACAAAGTAAAACAATTCTAAAACTTGTTAAAAACAGTTATTTAAAATACTGCTCATGATATTACTTTTTAGTTAGAAGTGTAGCCATTCCAGTTAGTTTTAGAATCTCTCTGTGGGTGACGCCACATGAACGTAAACTTCCGGGAGACATTTTAACTTTTTGTTAGGTTTTTCCGGATAACTTATATCTTCGTTTAACAGTTTAATGTAAAGACATCGGTTCATATTTGTGCATCATAATATTAAACAAATCACAATTGAAAGCTAGTGTACGCTCGTTTTTCCTATCTGGGAAGAGGCTGAAGACAAAATGAGCTTCCTTTTGTAAGAACTTATCAATATTAAATCTTGGTTTAAAGTTCACAGTTAGTTATATTAAAAATGTATTTAGTAAAAATAATGGATTATATTCACCTCTCTACGTATAGTACGTTCCTAATAGTGGTTATAGGGTGTTAGTTTAATGTTGTACACGTTTCATAACGTGAAAAGGCTCGTCCTAATTAAATGTTGTGTTTCCTGCTTAGTTCAAGTGACAAGTATTTAAGTGTAATCGACTTGTAACAAACCGTAATAACAATTTAAATCACAGGATAACTGATGTAATGCAGTACCTATCCGTAAATAATTTTATTGACTAGTTGTCGTTTTAGTTCAGTTAATTTAATATTTAGGGAACATGATTTAAGTTTAAGTACGGTACATACGGTACGTTTTAAAGAATCCCTAGTTTAGAACATGTTTTTACTGCAAAACACTTAGTTTTAGCTTTGATTTCTGTGCCTAGCTTCAGTTGTTTACAATATACCTAGCTCCAAGAAACGGTCTTGCTAGTGTTAGAAGACCGTTTTAAACATTGGCTGCAGCTAAACACGTACCTAGTTGTCTTATTTGCCAAGTATCGCCAAAGAACACTTCACATGTGATATACCATCCACCTTTTTGTAACCATCAGTGCGCTCAGATGCGCTGGGTACTTACGGGGCTACAGCGACTTTTTGAGACAAATGCAACCAAATTTATGAATTCGCGCCACCATGTTGTATCATTCCGACTCTGACTGAAATTCGCAATGGATCGAACCAGGAAAATTAAACTATCTGCGGTTCTCATGTAAACCACCCCTACATCTGAGAACATGTCATCTAAGGTTTTTACAAATGGCCCAGACATTTGTGAACATCGTTCCACTTGCTTTGGTGTGTAATTGCCGTGAGAGCCATCGTGCGGCTATTATACTATTTTTATCTAGTATTTTCTAGCGAGTCTTTTCCGTTTCGGGTTTTCCGTGTCTTTGGCAATACTTGGCAAATAAGACAACTACGTGTTTAGCTGCAGCCAATGTTTGAAACGGTCTTTTAACCCTTGGCAGACCGTTTCTTGGAGCTACATGTACAGTATACTTGACCTAAAGCAGACTTGACCGAATGTACCTCCGAAGATATGGATACTTTGAATTTTTAAGCAGTTTATTACTCTGTAAGAGTTGAGTTGGAGCCAAGCTTAAACTAAAATGTGTGGATCTAGGTGCGATCATGGTCTAACACAGTGCTTCTTAAACTATTTCAGCGTCATACACCCTTGAGTCTTTATCACAAAATGTAATTCACCCGCGACTAAATTTCCTTATGTTTTTCACCCATTTTCATTCACCCCCAAATAATTTCATGCACCCTTGGGTGAACCATTCACCAGTTTAAGAAGCAGTGGTCTAACACGCATCTCTATCGATCTCGATTTCAGGGGAAATCGCGCGAGTAAAACATTCAAGCCAAAGAAGAACATTCCCCTGGTACAACTCCGGATGTCGGGTAAATTCGTGGCCGTAAAAGCCGTGGCCGGGAAGACCAATCGTGGTCTAACACGGATGTCTCTCTCGATTTCAGCGGAAATCGCGCGAGTAAAACGTTCAAGCCAAAGAAGAATATTCCTGAGGGAACGCACCAGTATGACCTGATGAAACACGCAGCGGCGACGCTGGGAAGCGGAAACCTGCGACTCGCCGTCATGCTGCCGGAGGGAGAGGACCTCAACGAATGGGTCGCAGTGAACAGTAAGCAGGGATTCAGGGGTGGAGAGAGAGAGAGAGAGAGAGAGAGAGAGAGAGAGAGAGAGAGAGAGAGAGAGAGAGAGAGAGAGAGAGAGAGAGAGAGAGAGAGAGAGAGCGAGAGGGGAGGAGAGGGAGAGAGAGAGAGAGAGGGGGAGAGGGGGAGATGGAAGAGGAGGGAGAGAGAGGGGAGATGGAGAGAGAGCGAGAGGGGGGGAGCGAGAGTGGGGAGATGGAGAGAGAGAGCGAGGGGAGGGGGGATGGAGAGAGTGAGAGGGGGGGAGAGGGAGAGAGAGAGAGGGGGAGAGGGAGAGAGCATTGGCATTAGCCAGAGCGACAGGAGAGGAAGCGAGCGAGAGCCAATGCATTAGTGGTTCAAGCAAGCAAAAAAAGAAGGGAAGGGGTGAGAAAGAAAGACATAGAAAGAGAGATGGGGGCGGGGAAGGCTCAACTCATATTTCAACCATGGCTATAAGAGCGATTCCACGGTACAGTAAGTTGTAACAGGGGTTATTCGGTGAGCTAGTGGTAACAGAATAGTTTGGCATTGTATCAAGCAGCTCCCTGCACGTGTGAAGTAAAGATAGCCCCAAGTGATCGCTGAACTCTGAACGGCTATTGACTCGTCCCCATGAGTCAGCGCGCCAGAGAGGTTTCTGAGAGCGTAACTACTCGCGGGCCGTGTTGCATGGCTCAACGTGATAGGAACTGGGCTGGCTGTTGAGTGTGTGTGTGTGTGGGGGGGGTGTAGCTGTGTTAACGATAAAAAATGAGGGGGTGGCACAGTAAGGTTGTATGTGAGTCTAGGCAGCATTAGCACCAGGGAGAAGGTTCTACTGTTCTAGGGGTTGAGTTTGAGTTGGAGGTTTTTTCAGCTAAGTAGTATTAGGGAGTGCGTGCATGTCGTAACAACCGATTGTGAGACGTATATATTTAATAGCTGTATGCGTGCATCCATGTGTGCGTGTGTGTAAATATAGCTATATGTTCTGTCAACAGAGTAGCGTTATATTACGGGTGGGAAAAATTCTCACGCTCGGGATGCGATTGTTAATTGTGCGTAGGTTCTGCAAGTCATCTCACTCGCAAAAATAAGTTTAGTGTTTTTGTAAACGAGAGCTTGTGATGTGTGGTGGACTATCCACTATCGAAGCGAGAATTCTATCCACTAGAGAAGCGCAGGAATAGAGCGTGATTTATTGGCTTGTTTGCGCACGCGGCGCGTGAAACACATACTGACATGACAGGTGTTTGTCGAAATCCTGACGTGTGACGTCTCCGTAATCAGCCGTCTCTCCTCTATTGCAGCCGTCGACTTCTTCAATCAAATAAACATGCTCTACGGAACGATAACGGAGTTCTGCACGCCGGAGACATGCCCCATAATGTCGGCAGGTGATTAACGCTAATTAGACTAACGAGCGAACTCGTGCCGGCGCGGCGCGTGAAATCGTTGGGAGGTCGCGTTTCAGCGATGCGTCGATATTGAATTCGCTAGTCTGTTGCCGGTTCGGCGATGCGTAGTCTATTCAGCTTGTTTAATAAATTCTTCGGTTCGTTAATTCGTTTATCAAATCTGTCTTGTTTTTAAAAACTGCTTGAGGTTTGTTATTTCAGATTTCTGTTAAATTCTTTATTGCCTGTAGGACCCAAGTATGAGTACCACTGGGCCGACGGACAGGCGGTAAAGAAACCTATAAAATGCTCGGCACCAAAATACATAGACTATCTCATGACTTGGGTACAAGATCAGCTAGACGACGAAACGCTATTCCCATCCAAAATAGGTAACAGTTCGCTCTGCCTCCCCAACCTACCTTTCCTCCACTCTCGCGTGTTCTGCAACTTGCGAGCTAGTTAGTAAAGGATGGGCTGGTAATTAGTGATGCAATGTGAACCACCGTTTAAATGTTTGCTTCTTTTTTTTTTAGTGGTTGGTTAATTAGTGAGTAACAAGGTGGTAGTGTTTTCTTACTGCACACACAAATTCTTTCAGGACGTAAGCGTAATTAGCTAAAGAATAATATGAACACTTGCCTACAAATTGATACACTTGCCTTGATAAGGTCAGCAACCCAGTCTGCATGCTCTGCCGTCGCCTCACACACCATAGACTAGTCACAGCTGCTCTTTCTCTCTCCGATCTCTTATGTCAAATTTTTCTCTCTTGCAGGCGTTCCGTTTCCAAAGAATTTCCTGTCGTGCGCTAAGACTATACTGAAACGATTGTTTCGAGTCTACGCGCACATATACCATCAGCATTTCAGCGAAGTCGTGCAGCTGGGAGAAGAGGCACATCTAAACACGTCGTTTAAGCATTTCATCTTCTTCGTACAGGTAAGCGAGCGAGACTCCCTGAAAGAGAGAGAGAGAGAGAGAGAGGAAGAGAGAGAGAAAGAGAGAGAGATAGAGAGAGAGAGAGAGAGAGAGG